CAGGAGTTGGAATAAGATTGTTATGTCATTTGTGACTTATATGCAAAATTTAAGATTATTCCGAGTTGGTTTGATGTGATTCGGTGTGAGTTTTGGAAGTTGGAAGTTGGAAGTTCATTAGGCTTGAATCGTGGTGCGATTCGTGGTTTCGATGTTATGGGTTAGTGTACATATTGGTGAGGGCATTGGTGTAAATGCTGATGAGGGCATTGGTGTAAATGGTGATGAGAGTATTCAAGTAAATATTGATGATGGTATTAATGTAAATGTTGATGAGGGTATTGGAGTAAATGTTGATGAGGGTATTGGTATAAGTGTGGTGGAGGATATAGAAGTAAATACTACTGAGGGTAGTGGTCCAGGGGTTAGTGTACATATTGGTGAGGGCATTGGTGTAAATGCTGATGAGGGCATTGGTGTAAATGGTGATGAGAGTATTCAAGTAAATATTGATGATGGTATTAATGTAAATGTTGATGAGGGTATTGGAGTAAATGTTGATGAGGGTATTGGTATAAGTGTGGTTGAGGATATAGAAGTAAATACTACTGAGGGTAGTGGTCCAGGGGTTAGTGTACATGTTGGTGAGGGCATTGGTGTAAATGCTGATGAGGGCATTGGTGTAAATGGTGATAAGAGTATTCAAGTAAATACTGATAATGGTATTAATGTAAATGTTGATGAGGGTATTGGAGTAAATGTTGATGAGGGTATTGGTATAAGTGTGGTTGAGGATATAGAAGTAAATACTACTGAGGGTAGTGTTGTAAATGCAGAACAAACTAGGGCTACATTTTCAGATGAGGATATAAATGTTGATGAGAGTGCAGCTGCAGAGCATGACAACACAAATAAAACAGATACAAATCTGTCTGAAGATGAAAATTTTGGTGAAGATGACCTTGAAGATATTCCAGAAGAAGATGACAGCGAGATAGATGATGAGTTAAGATGTGTGAGGAATGCTGCTAGGGAAGTAAAGGGAAACGTGCAGAAAAAGTATGTGAATGATGCTGGATCACAAAGTAAGAGGAAACAGAGGAAAAAACTTATTTTTATAGAAGAGGTAATTCTTGGTAAGGCTGGAATTGATAAGGGGTTTGAAGATATAGGGATAAAAAAGAAGGATAAATATATTGGAAAGCTAGGTGGGGATGAAGAGTATTTGGACGGCTCAGATGTTGGGAGTGTAGACCCACTTGCTGAACCTGGTGTTGATCTTCCTCCTAGAAGAAGAAGTCAAAAGATCAAGTATGACTTGGATGCTAAAATTCCTCTGTTTGAGTTGGGCATGATCTTTGATAATGCAGAAGATTTTAGGAAAGTTATTGCTAACTATGCTATTCAATATAAAATGTCTTTAAAGCTTAGACCTAATGAGAAAGATAGAGTAAGAGTTAAGTGTAAGCATGAAAAGTGAAAGTGACAAATATTTTCTAGTAAGGATAAGGATTCAATGAACTTCACTGTGAAAACTTATATACCTGTCCATAAGTGCCCAACAAAGAACAAGAACAAACTTTGCACAACCAAGTACATTGCAAGAAAGCTCCAAGATAGAATCATTCCAACTCCAAACATTACAGTGCATGAGTTGTAAAAGGTTATAAGGGTTAAATGGGGTTTGAATGTAGGAAGATCACTTGTATATAGAGCCAAGATGAAGGTAATTAGTCAGTTTATGGGTGACTAGTACCTTAAATTTTCAAGGTTGTTGGACTATGCTGACATGATTAAGTCCACCAATCCTGGAAGTTCATGTTGGGTGAGAACTGATACATAAACAGTTCCTGGGAAACATCTGTTTAAATATTTTTATGTATGCTTTGAGGCTATGAAGAAGGGATGGATGGCAGGTTGTAGAAGAATCATAGATTTTGATGGTTGTTTCCTAAAGGGAGCTTGCATAGGTGAATTATTAGTGGATGTTGGGAAAAATAAAAATAATCAGATGTATTCCATTGCTTGGGCTTTGGTAGATCAAGAGACTACACATTCATGGAGTTGGTTCATCAACTATCTCAAAATAGACTTAGAGTTGAGGAATGGTGAAGATTTAACAGTCATGACTGACATGCAAAAGGTACTGCAATCCATTTATTATGTTGTTTGTTTTTTATCATTATTATCGCCAGATCACTTGATGTTGTATCTCACTAATATTGCATGTTGATGTTGTTGTTATTAGGGAATGTCATTTGTTGTTGTTGATTTGCTACCTCTTGCTGAAAGAAGAATGTGTGCAAGACACATTTAGGCAAACTGGCAAAAATCTTGGAAGGGAGAGGAGAGAAGGAAGCAGTTTTGGAGATGTGCTAAGGCTCCTTTTCAGGTAAAGTTAAGAGAAAAAATAAAAAAATTGGATGAATTAGGAACTGGTATTTGTGAAAGTTTACTGTCCTATGATAAAGAATACTGGTGTAGGGCATATTTCAATAAGAAGGTTAGATGTGATATTGTAGAAAATAACATGTGTGAAATATTTAATTCTTGGATATTAAGTCCTAGGCATAAATCTGTCATCACTATGTTTGAAGAAATTAGGCACAAGATGATGAGTAGGCAAGTTGATATGATCAAGTTTGTTGAAACATGGGATTCTGATATATCACCTATGACAAGACTAGTTTTAGAGAAAAACAAGAAAATAGGAAGGAAGTTGAAAGTACAGTGGAATGCTGACACTGGATTTGCAGTGAATGAAGGCATGTATAGACACACTGTTGATATACAAAAAAGCGAATGCAGCTGCAGATTATGGCAGTTAAGAGGTATACTATGTCAACATGCAATATGTGCCTTTTATAAGCTTGGGAAGGTAGCAGAAGACTATGTTGAGCACTGGTATAAGAAAGACACTTTCCTGGCTACTTACCAATACTATATTCAGCCAATTCCAAGCATGCAAATGTGGACTGAGTCTGCCAATCCATCAATTGAGCCTCCTGGAGTTAAACCAATGCCTGGTAAGCCAAAAAAATACAGAAGAAAGGACAAGGATGAACCAAAGAAGTGGGAAAAACTGTCAAAGAAGGGTGCTAAGATGTCATGTTCAATTTGCCATCAAGTTGGTCATAACAAGTTAGTATGCAGTTTAAGGGTAAGTTTTATCACTTCCAATTCAATTTATTTTCATTGTTTTCATAGTACTTGATTAATGACTTAGCAATCATATACTAGGGACAAACAAGCACACAATCGAGAAGGTCAAATGGAACAACACAATCAAGCACACAAGTTGGTAGTCAAAGTAATACAACCCAAGCTGCAGGTACATCAACTACCACAACCCAAACTTCAAGGGCCCCATCTTCCATGTGTGCTGAAACATCAAAGATAAGAAGGAACACACCATCAGTAAGAGATAGAGGAACTGTAGGAAGTGGTGGTAGGGGAAGATGTGGAGGATATGGTAGGGGAAGAGGTGGAAGATCAGTTGGTGCTTCTGTTACATCTGGTGCATCTATTTCTGCTACTGCCAAAACACTTGCTGCTTCTGTTGGAAAGAAAAGAACCAGAAATTCTGGTTTTGGTTTGTACACAGACACACAAACAGGAACTAGTATCCTTAATGTGAGTGTGAGAAGTATTATTCAATATTAGTTAACTGTATTTTCTATCATTATGCTTCTGCATGATTCATTACTGACTAAGTGTATTTTGTAGCCTGGTAGGCCAAGTTGAAAGACTTATTTCAACCGGTGCAAACTTGATGAAGGCTGCACAAACTAATGTAGATCTTGAATTTAGATCAAATGGTCTCAAGTAGAAAGGGAATCAACTTCAAAAGCAAAGGGATGTTGTAGTTTCCAACAAAAAGATGAAAGTCGAAACCTCTACTTCATCCACACCAGTTGACTCTTGTCAAAATCAAATTTATGAAGAAGTTTCTTGTATTTTGTCGGTCATGTGCATGAACCATATTTTGTGAAGTATTTTGAACCTACTTATGTTGGTCATTTGGTCATATGTATGAACCTTACTTTTGCATGGGATGTATATAAACCTGCTTTTGTTAGTTCAATTTTTCAGATTATTCAACCTTTGCTATTATGATATTGGCAGTATAGTTTTTTGCTATTATGAGATCGGATTAGTCCACCTTTGCTTCGGTAGTCTAGTTTTCTTACAGAAACTAAAACACATTTGATCATTGAAAACTTTATCATACACATTGTAAATTTTAACTACATTGAATAGGAAATATTGGCCATAAATCAAAAACAACATTGCAGTAAAATAAATAGGGTTACATGCCCATATACATATACTATACACTTAAATAATAGAAGATTCCCTCAATTACAATTACAAGCAACCACACCAAAATCCCCTGTTTCTTCATCAACTTCGACTTTTCTTCTTCATGATTTTTTACCCTCTTTAATAATCCATACATGACTTTGGAATAGTGTTAGGACAATTTAACATCATACCAACGAAAAAAATCGCATCCACCATCGGCAGTTTTCCCAAATCTAGAGCCATAAAATCTTCTACCCGGATTAAATGGTGACCACGAAAGTTTTAAAGGAGAAATTTGGCCACATTTGCAATTAACAACAAATTCCATTGAAATAGAAGAAGTAGAGAGAGAGAAGAAAAGAAATTTTGCTGCTTTGCTAGGGAGGAAGAAGATATATGTGGCTGGAGAGGTGAGAGAAGTGAAATAAATTTTTAGGGTTGGGTTTGGGAATTTAAATTAGGGACTTCATTAAGTTTTTTTTTTTTGGAATTTCACAAAAATTCCGCTACATTATCGTTGGGATTACTTACACACGCGCAGATCTGGAGGTGTAATACACGCGACGGGGGCTGGTGAGGTCGGGTGTTTATTGAGTTCACTTTTTAGTCATGTGAAACGTTTAAATGAAAAAGGCCTCAGTTGAGGTGTTCAAATGATCGGCGGGGACAACTTAAAGAGGCGTTTTATGTATTTCGCCAGTTTAAATCTGAGACGAATACGTGCGATAAATTCACATTATTTCATAGAATGCTTCTCGATCTATATATTACCCAAAGAGCTTTATAATATAACGCTTGAGGAATTCAGTAGAGCAACGAAGATGTTGTCAGCATCGATGAAAGTATTGATAATTTTCATTAATATTGGAGCATTTATTTCTTTAATAGTATGGAGTTCTCCTTTTGCATTTGATATTGTTGGTAAGGCAACAATTATATCACTTGGGATCTATTTACGTACGTTGTATGAAGTGATATCAGAGGAAAATAAGTTGTTGAAATTGGTTGAATGATTAGGGTTAAAACATGAACTAATTGGTAGCAAAATGCCAATTCAGAATCTTGTTTTTCAATTTATTAAGGAAGCAAAGAAGTCATATCCTCTATATTGGGCTGCTCAATCCTCCTGCTGGTCATGGCATTGTTCTTTAGAATAGCTAAATTTTGGAGTGTCAACGGTGTTTGACTGTTTGGTATCTCAACTTTTCTTTACTTAAATACTAGGCTTTTGTCTACGGTATGGTTCTAACAACTTGTTTACATGGTTATTACATATTGTATGGTATCGTATTGTTACTTTAAATACAATATTTATTTTGACTGTTACTTAAATTTTATTGTATCGTCCATCGTAACGTAATGACGAAAAGTGTCACTTTATGGAACGACGTATGGTGTGACAACGCCGTTATACCTTGCTTTTTTCTTACATATGTCCTTACTTATTATTAAATAATTATATTTTATCTTTTACCCTACTTTTTTATATAATAATTCTACTCCGTATCCTATCTTTTCTTAGTAATGTAGCAAGTTTATTTTTCATATTGTTGGTACATGACATGATAAACGACGACAAACGTTACAACATATCCAAATATTGTATTTATAAAACAATACAATACAATACAATACGATACATTATTAAAGGACATGTAACAACAATCCAAACAAACTGTAGTTAGTTCTGACGTGTGTGCGCGATGTATGTATTGTGTTCTTATAGCTAGATCAATGTCTGAAGTTCGTTCAAAAAGAGAACGTTGTTGTCATTAAAATCTAGTCAACAACGGCATTGTTAGGAGGTTGCCATGTTTTTATTTAATAAAAAAAAAGTCCAAATACATAAGCAACCTGTTAAAGTTGTCATCAATTTTAGCTTTATTCCTATTAGGCACTTCAACTACGTTCAAAGTGTGTCTACTAAACACAACATAGTGACAAGGTAAAATAAGTGTTGGTCACTTTCATTAGGCGCGTGAGTTGATAAAAATTATATTTTTTCTTTTTTTCCCATGTTGAATTTTTCTATCCACCTGCCTGCAGTTTCCTCACCAAGATCGGCATGATACAGCAGCCACCTGGCTATTGTCCTTCTTCTTCACAGATTAGTTTCTTCTCCTATGTAAATATTTGTCTTTCTTCTCAAGTTATTTTTATAGTTACTCTTCACATCAAGAGAAAGAGTAAGGGTTACAACGACAACACAATATAATTTCATTAGTGGGATCCGGTGAGAATGGTGTGTACGCAGACCTTACCCAGGTTTGGGTAAAGAATGTTATTTCCAATAGACCCTCGGTTACCTCCCTCCAAGAACTCCCCACCTTGCACTTCCAAGATTGTTCAGCAACACAATCTTGTGTAACTGAAGAAGGGTTCTATATATATATATATATATATATATATATATATATCATGCCGTCTCCGGCGGCAAACCAAACAGAAGAAGAATTTTTAAGTAGAGATGCATACCATCTTTAAGATTTAAATCAAAGGCTACGCTAGATTGCCGATCACAAAAAATTGTTTCAGAGTCGTAATAAACAGAGATGGCGACGGCGATCGGAAATCAAACGAAACGAGAACTTGAGAATGATTTCTCAAATCAGAAAATCACAACTCAACCACAATCTCAACTGTAATCCATTTCAACAAGAACCCTCATAAATCCGAAAAATCAGAATTAAGAAACTTTAAGAAATGATTTCAGAAATCCCAAATCTTAAAGCTCAAAAAGGAACATGGAACCTTGAAGAGAACGGAAATGTTTGATAAGAATTTTAGGTGGTGGTGTTTAGAATGGGTCAATGGAGAAAGACGGCTGGTTGGTGTTGGACGGAGAACAAAAGAATAGTGATCATAATTGACTATGGGGCTGCTGCATTTGGGGGAAAAGGCGAGGCAGTTGGGAAGAATACCATGAGTTTTTTTTCCTTTTTCTAATCTTTTTGTTGACTTTTGATTAATTTTAACTAAAAAAGCCACATGGCATTTTTTCATTTGTCATATATTCCACGTCATCGCGTGTGAACTTCACACGCTATATTTTCCTAACTGGCTAGTGAAAACTTGTTCACTAGGCACACTTTGAATATAATTAAAGTGTCTAATGGAAACAAGGTTTAGTTAAGTGTAAAAATGAAAATTAGTTACAACTTTAAGGGCCACCTATGTATTTGGCCAAAAATAAATGTGAAGATCTAGTTTTTGCTTAACAGCTTGTTTGGATGGTTGTATTATATGATGACCAGAAAGGTTATCTTTAAATTTAATGTTCATTTCTGTGTTCTGAGACCTTGAATAGCACCTTTCAGCATTCCTCGACTTGCATGCGCAGTTCGTAAATTTTACCGAAAAGTTTTTATGTAAAAATTTGATTAAAAAATGTGAAATAGATCTTCAAAACTCATTTGAGTGACTTAGGAACACTTTGAACAAACGGACCCTGATTAGTATTTTGACAGTTCCGATAGGTCCATATCGTGATTTGAAACTTGGGCGTATACCCGTAATTTAATTTGGAGGTCCCTAGCTCGAGTTATAGCCAATTATAAAAAATTAAAAGTTTGAAAGCTTAAAGATTTCAAAGTTTGATCACAAATTGATTTTTATTGATATCGGGCTCGAATTTCGATTCAGAAAGTTGAAATAAGTCTGTTATGTCATTTATGGCTTGTGTGCAAAATTTGATGTCAATCGGACTTGATTTGATAGATTTCAACATCGAATGTAGAAGTTGAAAATTCTTAAGTTCCGTAAGCTTGAATTGAGGTATGATTCGTGGTTTTAGCGTTGTTTGATGTAATTTGAGGTTTCGAATAAGTTCGTATGATGTTTTAAGACTTCTTGGTGTATTTGATTGGGGCATTGTACCAAACGACCCCTAACAATATATGTTGCTTGGATCCTCCAAAAATGCTACTGTGTCGGTATCAAATCCTCTAAATATGCATTAATTTTCAAAGATCCACATAAGAGTGGCAACATTTTGGCGGGGATCCGAGCAACATAGCTAACAACGATGCCAAACCCGAACAAAAGGTCACGTAAATGGCATTTGAATGTCCAAACGCCACAAGGAAAGAAGGAAATTGAAAAAACTGTACCAGTAAAACTGGTGAGTATATACTACTGCACAGCTCAAATAGCCACATATATGAAGTTTAATATGGAAGCATTCAACATGCAGTCTGTAATGTCAATTGAAGATGTAAATGGTAAATTATTCAAGTTAGAACTTGGACCATAGCTTAGCCAAGACATTTATAATGTTACACATACAAGAGAGCGTCGACATGCATATCCACATAGTTGGATTTTAATATCAGAGTGAATGTAGCTCAGCGCCTGAATTTGGGGAGGGTGGTTGCATCAGGATTGAGCCATCTTCATCTCGAGATGGTAATTCTATGTCCTGTTCAAGATAGAAAAGGTAAAACTTGAGCTCACTAACAGCAATAAAAGGTACTCCCTCAGTTCCAGTTTATGTGAACCTATTTCCTTTTTGGTCCGTTTCAAAAAGAATGAACCCTTTCTAAATTTGGAAACAATTTAGCTTAAACTTACAATTCTATCCTTACTGAGAAGCTTTTATAACCACACAAATACTATGGGCCCCTTTTTGACTTGTTTAGGACCACAAATCCAAAAGTCTTCATTTTTTCTTAAACTCCGTACCCAGTCAAACAGGTTCACATAAATTGGAACGGAAGGGAGTAACAAATAAACCCTGCTTGTAAGCCAGCCTACAAATACAGGATATCATGCTCTATAAAAGTAAAGAACATGTATTAGAACTTTTGTTGCAAATTTACAATTAAACTAATTTGTGCTCTCTTTAACACTTTAAGCTTTTAGAGAAGACAGTTACAAACTTTAACATGGTGATAAAACATGCAGAGGTGCTTTGCCAAGAAAAATAGTTGGGATCGCACATGATGTGGCGTGTTGCAGACTAAAGTAAATAAGGTGGCTGCTCTTGAACAACTTAAAACCTTTTTTTTTCATAATCAAGAAATCTCGAGGGCTATGGGCACATGGTTCAAAACTTGGTGGATAATGAGTCCGTTCCTCTACCTCTCTACTTAACAACTTGAACTTTTAGTCCCTTAGATGAGGCTCATAAGAGAAAGCAAGTTTAAGAAAAATGAATTAGATCAAGCAAAGTGTAAACAGGCCCAACTGAAGCCATCATTTGCTATTATAAAAAACTGGAGCCTAAAACTACCACTGTACAGGTGTGGCTCAAAAGAATTTAGCACGAATCTCAACACCTCAAATATATTCAAAATCACCAAAAGCTTAGGTACACCTAGAAAATTTGGATAGGGGGAGGGGGGCAGAGTAGGGCATGACAGCGAAAATTGTGATTATGAAATCTGCAATACCTGTGTTTGTAATAGCTGATTAGGTTGTTGATCTTGTGCTAATGAATATGCCTGGGGCTGGGACATCCGGTAATACGGTTCCTTCAGATCAAGTTTAACAGATGACGTTTGGAGCATATCTCCAACAAGAGCTATTCAAATTAATGACATGTTAGATTCTTGAAGAAACATCAGCAAATCTTGACTGGATAGGAGTTAGAGATAACCAAACATGATGGACATGTTGCAAATAACCATAATAAAGACCTACCTGACAATGTTAAGTAAATGGTATAACTTTGTGCCTTATGGGCAACTAGGTGAAGCCGACCAGTTATCTCCTGTCCCGGCATGACATAAAGTGGTTGTGGTAAGACACACCGAAGCTGATACCAATGAGTTGTTGCTGCACCCGGAGCAGTGGTCAGCCACCTTTGCACAGTGCTGCAGAAAAGAGGAAATGATTTAGCAGCAAAAGTAAAAAGACCAAGTGCCAGAACCCAGGGGATGAAAAAGTTTACCTTCCATTAAAAAGTACATCAAACCAGCAAGCCAGCCCATGAATTCTAGTGCTAACAGAAGAGAGAAATCTCAACGGGATGTCAATTTCATATAAATCTTCTTCCTGTAATATAGATGCGGGAAATATCATGTTTCAACAATTTCTGGATAGAATGCCCACAATCTGTGTTACTTATTCAGTAAATCTGATAACTCTCAGTTAAAAGAGCAATATCACTTCAGCTAAATCTTCCCTTAATTAACACCTCCCACTACACGGTAAATACATTTTTTGTTCATTTCAAGAATATCATAAAGAATAAATATAAATGGAAAGCATATCAGTAGTAGATTTGGAAAAGCATACTTTACACCTAAAAGTTACCGCTACCTTGTGTTTATGTTAAGTTTATTTCTTTTCATGATTATCCATCAAATGTTAATTTCACTATCTTGAACCCTGAAATTGAATCTCTGTGAAGCCTTTATTCAATTTTCATATAAAGAACAAAGAGTGTATCTTTTACTTTAAAGATCTTTTTAAAATAACCCACGGACAGATAAAGACCTAACCTGCAGTGCATTTTTAGTCAGAACTACGCATTAGGAAACAGTATCTGTATAGTTTCCTCCCCGTTCATTTCCTTTACATTTTAACCAAGAGACCCCCAAGTCAGTAAATTGTTTTCTAATTCAAACATTGCCATACTTTATCTAATAGTATTTTTCCTGTATTAGAAGGAAAGAAAAGGAATAGTAGGCCTACTCAGAATTCAGAATGCATCGTCACTTCTTTTGCACGCCATACAGAATAAAATGTTGATTGATAATACCTTTACAGAATTGAAGTTTATCACATGGGACACTGCAGGAGCTACCAATAACCTAGGATCAAAAGCATCAACAACTGGCTGCAAAAGGACAAGAATATCCAAAGAAAATGGAAAAAGAGTATGAGTCAGAAGCATGCATACCTCAACCAAAACATTATCTAGTATTTAAGCTTGGACTATAAATCACAAATACACAAAATCTTTGGCTAACAAGTACATCTATTGCATTTTTTTTTCCTGAATAAATTACATCTATTGCATCTTAGAAGCCAAATTATTAAATTAAAAGTAGCTGGTTTATTGCATTTGAATAAGAAACCAATTGATTCATTCACCAGTTCAATATCTTGGACAGAAAAAAACAAGTAGCCCCTCCTATCATATATTCATATTGAACTAAGATAATACCCCTCATTAACGCTTTTTCTTATGTCTTATGTGGCATATTGATTGGTTACACACATTTTAAGCGTTAAGTAAGATTTGGTAGGACTATTCCCTTGATCAAACTAGTAACCTAGTATACTTTATAGCATCTGGATCTTTCAAGTTCCTTCAATCAACCTCCCATTAGAAAATGTTAAAGACATAACACAATAAATAGAAATGTCCCCTCTCCAATGATGAGGCGTTTGAAGCAATTTGACATGGTGTTAAATCAGGCAGAGGTCTTGAGTTTGGTATCACATCTACACATCAACAAAAAAACATTTTCACATGCTTGACGAGAGAGTGAGAGCGAATCTATCCCTCACGTGAAGGGGCATCTTTTAATTACCCTCTATAATAAATAAACTTTTATATGATTAACACAGCCAATCAAAATAGTTTCTTCTTAAAACATTGACTTTGAATAAGCCCAAGCCTCCACACACTCGAGGAGGGGGAAAAAAAGAATACATAATGTGTTAGTATAATGAACTTTCAAGGAGCATTTTTGGGAGTTTCTAAGCATTTTTGGGAGTTTCTAAGGACCCGTTTGGCCATAGATTTTGCCAAAATAAACTTGGGTTTTATTTGGCAAACACATGTTTGGCCATAGATTTTGCCTACATTTTGGCCAAATCCCAAATCCCAAAACCAGCTCAATAGCTGGTTTTGGGCCAAAATATCTCTATTATATTTTTTAAAAATTGCCCCAAACTTTTATATTTTATAAAAGATCCCACCATTTATTATTTTATAACGATTTTGCTTCGTCTTCTCGGTTATATGATAGTGTATCATGTAGTTCATTATAAAAATGATAATTTTGTATCAAATTTATTTATGTTCAGGACTATGATTTGGGATAATATAATGAATGTTATTGATAATGGTACTGTTGGGTATTTGTGATAATTTTTAGAACTTGTGGGTATAAGTCATGTTTCATGTTTTTCCAAACCAAAATTCACCCAAAACAGATGTCCAAACACATTTTCATCTTCAAACANCCCCCCCCCCTTTTCAGCACCTAAGCAAGTAATGCAGTGACCATTAATATGTAGACATATTCCAGACGAATGTTTTTTAATTTCCTTTTCTATTTTTTTCTTTGATAAGTGAGACTTGTGTAATCCAGACTTGTTTTTTTTACCCCCAAGACATCTAAAGACTACAGTTTTTCTCCTTCCAAACTGACCACCAAGTACATGTAGGGATAATTCTAGATACATAGAAGTCAAACAAAAGTGACACTTCTAAAACACCCTTATTTCTGAAGTTTCCATAATACAAATTGGATATTCTAGCATAGATTGCACATTTAGAAGTACAAGTAACTAATCAATAAGAGAATTCCATACAGCAGGAAAATGAAACATTTAAGAAAGCCCTAAAAATGCTGCCAAGTCAAAGTGAAGTATTCAGAGATCAGACAAGTATAGTCATTAAAGCCAGTCCAAGTCAAAAGTTCCTAATCTATAGGATATTGACCTGAGAAAAGTATCCTTGGTAAGCAGATCCGTGCAAAGGTGTCAAGTCAACCCCAAAGTAGTTTTGTTGCTGCCAAAAGGTCGCCTGGATGACGAGGAATAAAAGTAATATCAAGACATTGTCTGGCAGTTCAAAAAGATAATGAAAACAATGGTAACTAAATCATATCATCCAAAAGGAAGAAATAAAGCGTATAAAAACAAAAGAAAGCCAAAGTGCAGACTATCAGACATTTGTAGAAGCTAGTGGTAAATGCTAGTAGTAATTGGAAAATGGTTTTGGACAATGAGATTTTTGCCAATAAACTTTGCCTGAATCATTCAAACTTGTTAAAAAGAAAAAGGAAAGAAAATGAAGATTTAATAGACAGCCACGGTGATGTTGAAGCTTGAATAACAAAAATTCTATTTGTCACACTGAATTTAGATGGCATTCAGTTTGCTTCCCAGCCACAGATTCATAAGATATTCCGTTAGCAATCGAGGTCTTATTCTCTTAAGAGCACAAGATGAACAATATTTCAGTACTTTTCATTGGCAAAACTGCAAAAGAACTTTTACAGGAGGTATACAGTGCATTCAAGAAAAGTTTCAGATTCTTCTCTGGGAACCCCACAATTACAAATGAACACTATCCACCTCAACAACTACTTCTACGCCTCAACAAACCTCTTAAATCAATCAAAACACTTAATATGGAAAAACACATAGTATCCATCAATCTTCCTTCCCTGAAGAGAAGGAGCTGCGGTTTTCTTTCCTCTCTTTCTCTTGGTTGGAGGAGGGAAACATGAAGGGCATCCAGAGAAGAAAGGAAAATTTTTTAGAACAGAACTACTCCAAGATCAAGAAAAAAAGGTGATATGATCCAGTGTGTACCTTATTTGCTATTTCCATATACAAATATTCGTCACTAAATGGTGCCATGTGTATTCTACAAGAGTAAAAGGAAACATAAGCTAAAAATGGTGATAACATCATATCCAAGACAAAACAAATGAAGGAAAATAATAAAACGGTTACATGCTGGTTTATGTAATGCACGCTAAGACACTTGATGGAATTCGTGCAGAAATATGTAAATGCAACCATTAAAGAAAGGTAGGAAATATGCATTAGATTCAGCCCAAATGCTATGAGTAATCAGGCAAACATGTGCAAAAGGGGAAAGAAGATCTTTAGAAAGAAAAAAGGGGGAACTGGCAGCCAACATATACACACACCGGACGAGACTGAGAATTAAGCTTGAAAGTTCATATAATACCCTGAGAAAACAAAACTAGAGCGGATAGTTGAAACTGTGGGTCAATTAGTTATATCAACATACTCCAATCTCCTAAACTAATCCATTTAAGGAACAAGCTGCGCTACTCAAGATGAAGCAAATAATCATTACCAATGCAACTCACAAGCAAAAGTTGAGATATTATATCTAACACTAATATTAATTTCACATTTCATTTCTAAATTAGCAGCACACTCAATATGCCAGAAAGATAAGACAGTAAAATAACAATTTAATGAAGAATATTAGCTTCAAATTATTTGGCATGACAGAGACGTTTGAAGGGATAAAAACAAACAGTTGCGCGAAATGACTATGAGAACAAAATTTTACAAGAAAATTGCAGACATCATCATTGATTTGACAAGGCAAGGCTCCTCAATGTGCTGACAAGAAATAAAATTACCTTCCGACACCAGGAAACATTTTTCCATTTTGAACAAGAAATCGGTCTCTTGCAATCACATAGGACTCCAACATTCTTTCATTAACCAACAAAGTACCTGTAAGGTATAAGCACTGTGTCACACACTCAGCAGGTTTAAGCATGTCTCTTTTGAATATTTTATTAATTGCATTCTGGTTATTCTGGATTAACACGTTCTACCATATCTTGGAAGATTACAATCCTATTTTTTGCTTGAACTGAAAAGAGAACTGAACAAAATTCATATCACAAGCAAAGCAAGAATGTCCAGTTAAATAGATGATAGCCCTTCTTTTCTTCTTCTCCGCCCAGTGTTGCCAAAGGCTCATTTAAGGCGCGTTTAAGCTTAGAAAAGCTCAAGGAGGGCGTTTCTCTTAAGTTGCGCTTCAGTGTAAGGCAAGGCAGTAAGACATGCGCCTCATTGCCCATGAGTTGTATTGGGAATCAAGTGGCACCAAACAACAAATATAATCAGAAAATAAATGTATTAGGTGTAAAGGAAAACATTATAAATGAATTGGTTACTTTGTTCTTGAATAATATATATATTTTATTTTTTCCCATAGTCGCGCCTTTTTTTACCAAAGCCCACATTTTAAGCGTGCTTTGCGCTTAAGACCCTAATAGACCTACATCGCTTTTTAGAGCTTTTCGTTTTTGATAACACTGTCTCCACCTACACACACACACACACACACACACACACAGCTTTCTTTTTGCAAAATGCTGGACTGCATTTGACTCGTAATGAACAAAGCAGCCTTTCTTGAAGTCCTCTATAACTTTGACCTCCCATTTCATTATAAGGAAAAAAGACGGAGACAAATGACAGAACCAAAATTATGTTGTTCAGATAACTAAAATGAAAACCAGAATTGAAAGAAAATAACAGAAAATTATTTCTTGGACTTAAAAAAGAAGTGCTCATTTTTAAAGGCCCAAAGAACCCTATTGTTTTAGTTAGCTATAAGATGCAGATGCAAATATTACAAAAAAGGAAAAAAAATTCTTTCATGATTGATGCATCTGAGAATGAAGTTTCTGGCAAAAGCTGCAGCTGTCTGTAGTAAAATAGGACTTTAGATTCTACAATATGAAAACAAATATAGCAAATGCTGAATACTAGGAATTCTTCACCCTATAAGGAAAATAGTGGACAATCAGGCAATACAAATTTAAATGCAACTCAACTTGTAGTATGTATGAAAGTTGGTTTTTAGGATGTGTATTGGCTACTGGACATGTATATTTGTGTTTATTGCTCTCAGCTTTTATAGACAATCGGAATTGTTCCTAGCACATAGGAAAAATGGACCTTCTCTTCATTTTTGTTTGGTCCATAGATTGCACAAGCATTCATCAGATCAGATGTTGCCATTGTCTTAATCTTTCATATACTCTCCGTCTTTAATAGTATAGGTTCTTGAAACATACTCTAACAGCAAGCTTATCTTTACTCGCTTTGCAAATAATTAATCAAATAATTAACACTGATATAGTTTTAGTGATGTTTCATAAAGAACTTAGCCGTCAATCCAGAGGAATAACCTAAAGTTCTAAGAAACTTGCAGCACGACCAAAGTATACACAATGCTTCATCTTAGAAGTTAACATGATCTATAATGAATTAAAAATGAGACTAACTAGACAAGCTTACCCATTGGCTCAGAGATCAAAATATCAGCTTTCTCAGGTAACTCTACATCTTCAACCTTTCCTTTGATTACCTAAACATCCATGGATGAAACATTACAAAAAAGCATAAGAAGCACTACCAAGATACTATTTGAATATGTCGGATAGCATTGGAAAAGACATCGAAAAGACAAAAGAACAATCAATCCATAAACAGCACCTCAATACCATACTAAGAGGGATCAGCTTAAACAAATAAAAGAACACTTACTGTAATTCTTTCATTCAGTGATGGATTTCCAGCAATAAGTTTTCTTGCATATTCGGCCATTTCAGAAGCCTCTATGGCATAAACATGCTTTGCACCAGCCTATGAGGATTTTTGGGTGTAGAGAGGTGGGAAAAAGAAAAGATTTGGAGTAGAGATATCAGCATAACTGGCTGTGCCATGGTTGATATCATTTATCGAAATACACAAGATGCATTGGTACAAACAGATCACCTGAGCAGCAAATAATGACAAAATGCCACTACCAGCACCAACATCAACCACTATGCGACCAAGAAAATCGGCACGGTTCTCAATTACAGCAGAATAATAGGTTCCTGCAAGTTTTCATACTTGCCAAGTCAAACTCTCCATAGTGCGATTTAACTGTATGATCCCTTAGAAATGCAAAAGGGGAAGAGTTCCGTAATATTCTAGGAGCAACAAAAGGGAGCACATCATCTCATGACACACTATGAACCTCTATAAAGAAATTCCCAGGTCATGACCAGAGGAAAAACATAGAAAATATTAAAGTTCAGAATACTACCTGTCCTTACAAAATCCTGCAACATATTCTGCTGATGCAATAGCTGCCCATAGTAGTGAAAGTACATTTTGGCAGAAGATGACTCTATTTTGTCATCAAATTTGCTTTTCGAAGTTGATATTGCTCCATTTGTCAAAGGACATTCTGAAAGAAAGACAAGAACAAGTTACAGTTACACAAGTCAGCATTATTTATTCTTATATCAAAAATTTCATTAGCCCATTGTGGTGCTTTTGTGGTGTAAGAAACAAAAGTTTAATATCTTAAGAGATTGAAAAGCAGTTACATCGCAGATTCATTTTCATTAAGTAATTACAGTTAGCTTCACTGAGTAGAACAGTACTATAGATGTCCTTAAATGCATTGATCTTACGTAATTAAGCTAAACATAGTCGGTATCTTCTTTTGTCTTTTTTGATAAGATAAACATAATCAAATATCTAAAACCAGCTTTTTCTTATTAGGAAGTCAAGTATCTAAACTGTAGTTTTTGTGGGGAATAAAAGCAAGTGCTTTAGAAAAACTCAACAAAGGAATTAGTAATCCAAGGCAACCCATAGTAGAATGGATGACAATAACCAATCAAATGTTGATAACACTTGGCAGATTATGAGGCTCTTAATACCTCAGGACATGTTAGGAAAGTAACTATCTAATTTATCTAATTCAATAACTATGCTTCCATCTCAACACTGACAATGGATTAATAGCACTTTGCTGCACTTTAATAGAATACCTTTATCAATCGTAAAAAAAAAAAAAAAAAAAAAAAACCCCAAAAAAAA